AGTTGACGCTTCCACATAGCTGGCTATCACGAAGAAGGATATATAGCTGCGGTTGAAGACTCGATGCAACGATACTGCCCATACGTCAGTCAGTATCTCGGAGCAACTCAGTGGGGAGAGAGAGATGAACATACGCTTCCGCCAAATGCAACGAGTAGATCAGCCAGAGTTGCTTCCTATCCTTACTCGAGACCTCTCCGTCTGCCTTCTTCAACAGGTCCTCCTCCTCCATAACCTCCTCCTCTCCTATCTCCGCTCCATACTTCTCAAACAACGGGCTGCGATAATCCGCCTCGTCCTCCATATCCATATCCGCGATATGGATCCCAAGGGACTGATCTTCTTCACTCGACGACAGGACTGTCATGTTTGCTGGATAAGCGGTGATAATTTGTTGTGACCGGCACAGAGTTGTAGTTTGTTTGTTAATGAGTGGTATTTGGACGTGGGTCCAAGCAGTAGTAGTTAATGAGTGTGAAGGTGATTTACAAGAGCCTCATGAGACGGTATTTCTCATTACTCACGGGCGGTCCGTGGGGAAGGGGAAATCAGTGACAGCGGGCTGCTGTAAAAAGAGTGTGTGATAATAGTTTATTGCTACGGGGATTTCAAGTGGATTGTCGACGGACGGTTCTTCCAACACACCGGGTTGGAGGGGGAAAAAAAACTAGGTAGCCAACTGTTATGCAACAACACAGGTAAAAAGAGCGTGAGATGTTAAGGGAGTGTGGAGGGGAGAAGTCTGTGGTGGTGTTCGGTCTTCAAGACTCGAGACAGAAAATGAAATTCTCTAAGCTCCGTCCAGGGGGCCTGCAGAGAAAGAGGAAAAGACCCAGGAAAGGTCCCGCGCGCAAAAAACGGCCTTAGGTGTCGGTTTATGAACCAACAGGCGAGCGTGGGGATGCCACTGCCCAATCATGGCCCCGGTGAGGGCAGACAAAAGGGTTGATCGGTGGGGCCAGGAGCAATATGCCAGGGGTAAACATTGTATCAGATACGCCAAGCCGATAGGCTCCTTCCTGTGCTTGGTTTGGCGACATGTCTGAGTACAGCAGAGCAAGGGCTTCATTTAGCGCCTCTGCCCATTCAGAAGCGCTGAAGGATGGGTGGTGGGTTGAAGATCTGTATGTATGTACGGTGTACCTTACATGTGTGCATTGTGTATGAACAACGCTTCATATGGGCAGGTGTTTCAACGTCTGATATTCACAGTTGGACGTTGGACGTTGGGCGTTGAACGTTTGGATGACACCACGAGCCCCTTGATCACGCTGCTAGAAAGAAAGAGAGGGCAATTTCTACTGAGGACTGTAAACTGCCGCAATATCTAGCACATTCCCTTCCTAGCTCTTTCCCTTCGCCGGGGCGCCCTTCTCGTCGTCTTCCATTCGGACGTCAGCGGCTTAGAAACAAGGTTAAGCAAGGGCCCCTATAACTGCACTTTCAAGCATGTTTGCACCTCACCTTACGCCCCCAAACCCCGATATCAATATTTGAGAAAAAAGTGTTTATCTCACTCTACTCTACTCTACTCTAACCACCATGTACCATACATACCTGCATACATAACTAAGCATCAATACCAGATTCTACCGATATGGACAGAAATTTCTACCTTCGCAGTCTTTATTCAAGGGATACCCTGGCGCACTTACACATTGACCTCGTCCAATTACCACCAAGTCCAAGAAGAGTACCGAGTACCGAAACAACCCCAGAGTGTTGCGCTTGAGCCTTGAGCACCATATGATGAATCTAGGAAACGGGCTATATTAATAGCTAGTAGCCACTACTAGCTAGAGACTAGTCGCAATGTAAGTCATTTATTAGATTACCACGGTTTAATTGGATTCCCATACATATATCGAAATCCATGCGCCTCAAATGACGAGGAGTTGTCGACTTATCAGCGGTGTATTATGCATAATCGCACCCGCAGCTCACCCACTCCTCCAGGGTCTTGCAAATCAAGCTCTGCAATCAATCGACTTGGGTATCTGGGTATTTAATCTCGTCCCATCATTTCTAGCAGCTGAGGTCTTCAAATTCGAATCTTATGCAGGTTCGGCGCCTCCCGCAGCCCACCAGGGAGTGGTTATTAGGTTTCTGGGCATGCAGTTTCCGGTTCGCCCCACCTGGCAAATGACATTGAGGAGAAACACTTCTGGAATGGCCCATCATCAGTCTCTCGGAATTAGGCGTGGGATGGGACCTGCGAGATAATTAACTCATCCCGCGACCACTGCTGGCCGGTTAATCCGAAGCTACAGGTACTCTATGCTAGACGACAAGCATGGTATAGATAACTGGGGGGGTGTTAATTGCTTTGCCATGAGCGGATAGAGGCATCGGTATCGATACACTAGATGAACGCTTAGACCGCGGCAGGTAGTCATTGAGAAGTCCATACCATGAGCATATGTATGTACTGGAGGAAAAACTGTGTTTTTCTATGATCTTATCAAAAGATATAAACCAGATCAATACGCCTCATCCAACAGCCTCCCATTCCCTCTACCTATAAATATACCATACTCAGTCTGAACAGAGTAGGCACTGAACTCTCCCCCTGTGATATCCACAAAAACCAAATTTCTAATACATATCGCACATCGGTGTTCCCCGCGTCCATCGCGATTATGGCGGTAGAGGACGTGCGCATGGATGACCAGAGGTATTGACAATACCTACGAGGCTCAAATCTCCTCCTCTTGTTCATGACGCCAAGACTAGAGTCATGTCTGAGACCCCCTCCCCAGATCTTTAACCTTACCGGAAGAGCCCGAGAATTAAAGACAGGTTAGGAGGGCCCTGGTAGGTAGTTGTCCCCAATCCTCCCTGGTGAGAACAGGTTGATCCTGGTAGAGTACTCATGTGTACTCTACTTCCAGAGGGGTTCGAAGGGTCTTTAGGGTATTCTCTATCGGATTCACGGGCCGATGTCACTTGACTTCCTAAGGTGATCGGGGAACATTCATACCCAAAAGGTCCATAACTACTCTTCTAGAACGAGTAGGTAGTGGAGCGGCGGTTTCCATTGACTGGACGGTTTGCCTGGGTTTTGGGGGGCTCCTCCATGCTGGGGCGTTTGTGCTACCTGCTCTCTAGAGAATATATGGCGGACACTGGTTCTATAAAAGCCCATTGATTCTCCCGTACCATGTGGCAAAAGAACTTGCAGGCAAACAGTCACTCTTTTCATCAAGAGGCGGTTTGTTGAATATGTATGCATTTGGGGTGACCGACATGCTAGCTAGTCGGTAATGTTGGTGATGATGGTCGTTCTCCAGTACTAGTTGTGAGTTTAATTTTCAACGTAGTCCCCCTTAAGCTTATATGTGGCAGGAATTAAATGGCCATACGGAGCTGAGATATCTGGTGAATTGTCTGATGGTTTTGCATAACCAGACCAGTGATGCTGATTCGATCACTGTGTTCAATGATTGATCACAGATGTGGGGTAGATTCACAGTACTGCAACGACATACAGTAGACACATACATAGTCGTAGGAGGAGGAGCGGGTAACTACAACACCAATGCGGGTAGGGCCCACTACTGTGTGATGTCAAACAGTCCAGGAGAGCTCCGGCCAAATACACCACCCATTATAACACCTCGCTGCACCCAGCCAGCTGTAAAACAGGTTCCATCTACCGTGATACAAGAAGACAAGTCAAGATTTCGCCGTAAACCTACTTTTCGTACCGGCAAACATGGCTTCGAGTGGGAATCACAAGTTATCACTCGCTTGATAGCGGGAGGGCCCGAGGAGGTCTATAGGTTAGGTCCTCGGTCGCGGATGCTTCTTCGTAGCTCTACTTCCTTTACGGGTGTCTGCTACTTTGGGTGGCTGTTGGCTTGGGTGGCTGTTGGCTTGGGTTGCAGCGGTATCTACACGCGCTGGCTTAATTACCTGCCTCCTCGTAGAGCTGTAGGAAGGCTTCGCAGGGAACCCTAATTATATCAAGCTGTATATATGGGTGACGACGGGCATAACTTCTTCCTAGGGCCGCATGGCAGGATGGCGGATTTTAGTGGGGTGTTCGGCACCAAACGACTCTGCCAGGTTTGGTCTTTATCCCGACCCATCCCATGAAGCTACCGGGACGTGTTGTACATGTGTCCTTCGGGTGGTAATTAAGGTGACGATGGAGGTCTCGCTGTCAAACATGTGTCCTCAGCTATTCGGCTCTGCTATAAAACAGCTTATATACATATATCTAGACCAATATATCAAACTATTCGTCTCATCAAGTCCATCCTATATCTATTTCAGCAGAGAGGAGAGAGGATAATGTTTCCCACAAAAAGAATGCCAGCACTAGAACAACGGCACCCCGGAATGGACCAGAAACCTGCATAATCCCCCGCGATCATCAATCATGAGCGGCAGCCAGCACCCCCTACCAAAACCAAAAAGGGTGGGGGTCGAAGTTATCTGCTATCTGGGTCTGTCTTCCTTGCACAACACATCTAGTCAAGTGCTCCGCCTCCCCCCTCCATGGGCTCGACTTCAAGTATCTATTGTTAATTCATATGAAGTATACTTTTATCCTTTTTCTTTGCTTTCACCATTCATCACTCATAGCGAGATCTTTTCAGCTAAGCGAGTGTATTCCAATACCGAGTGATAATTCATGAAGGCATTTTGGTAAATTCAGGCCAGGGGTCAATCATAGTTGGGGCGGGTTGGTCTATCTACGAATCTTCGAGGAATATATAGCGGTCTTCGCGGATAGATCAGAGTATATACCAGCACTGCTCAAAAAGATGTATACACTGTCCACAACAGCACTCTACATGTAGTTTTATGGTAGCTACAGCATCTCCTCAAATGATTACCACCACCACCTCGCATTCACTTTTTTTACCACCCGGAGGATATTTACAGCAAATAAACCCGCAATACTTTTATCCCAAAGCAACAGAGAGAACAAAAGAAAAAGAAAAGGGAAACCTATCCACAAATACAGAAAGATTAAGAAATAATTAAACACCCTATTTAAACGGCGCAGAGATAGCCTCCACAACAACACCCTTCTTGACCATGACCCTGGGCATCGTCGAGTCCTGGAAGGTCGCCTTCGTGGTCCACTCGGGCCCGATCGGGACCCGCAGACTCCGCTCGTACTGCTGCTTGGTCTCGAACATGTGTGGGAGGGCCGATGCGTGGTACTTCACATTCTGGAACAAAAAATAACATCGCAATTAGCGCACGAACGAGTGGAAGGGGAAATATAGAGGATATATAATACCTTCTTAACCCGCTTCTCGTTGATGATGACCTTTGCCAACTTCGCGTCCTTTCGCTTGTCCTTGGCAATTCCCTTGACGGTCTTGAGGAACCTGTTTGGCTGGTCCGGGTTTTTCGGTTTCAGCCCTTCGCCGGTCCAGCTGCCCCAGCCAGGTAGGCTCTCGTCGACAACCTGGTCGCCCTCCTCCTCCACGACCGCGTTCTTCTCATTGGTAAAGTCCATCACCACATCGTCCCCAGCAAACGCCCGCTTCACCAGCGCCCTCTGGGACCTCGCGGCCTTCCCGCCCTTGGCCGGGATAAGGCTGATGTCCTTGTCGTCCACCTCCTCGTCGTCGCCGTCGTCGGGGTTTGCAACCGTCTTCGGCGCCAGCTTGAGCGTGACAGAGGTGTCGATTTCGACCTCGACGTTCTCGGCGGGGTCGCCGTTCTTCAGGGCCGCCTTTTTGTCCCTTGCGAGTTTCTTGCTGCTGCGCTCGGTTTTGGATTCGACCTTGCCGCTGGTGATGGTCAGCTGCTTGGGCTTGACGTGGGGGACGGCGTCCTGCGAGAGCCAGGGGTTGCCTCCGGCGGGTGTCGGGTCGTCGTCTTTGCTGGCGCCGAAGGAGAGGTGCTTGCCCCCGGCTGTCCCGGCTGTGGTTCTGGGTGCTGTGAAGGGGTTCTTTGCAGCAGCCGTGGAGGCTGCATTGGCTTTGTTGACGACTGTGACTTCTTCGTCCTCTTCGTCGTCCTCCTCGTCATCTTGTTCCTGGTCGCTGAGGTCCTGTTCCTCAAACTCTGATTTGTGGGTAGCTTTGGAGGCGGCTGGCTTCTCCTTCTTTCCAGGCTTGAATGTCATTCTGCCACTGGCCTGTTTGGGCTCCTCCTCCTCGGCTTCGCTGTCTTCGCCGACATCACTCAGTCTGTCGCCGTCCACCAGAGAGTTTTTGAGCTCTTCCAATTGGGCGTCGTTTTCCTTCTTCTTGGCCGCTTCCGCGTTCTGCATGAACTTCATGCCCATCAAGCGTCCACCCAGCTTGCTGCCAGCCCCAGACGACGAGACACCCAACGAGGCCTCCGCCTTCTCGATATCCTTTATCAGCTTCTTCCTCAGCTCCACACCCTCCTCGTCAAACGCATCGTCGTCTTCCTCCTCACTGCTGCTCTCACCAAACTCCTCGCCCTCGCCACGGATGTCCTTTCCCTTGATGCGCCTTGTAAGCTCCTCCGCGCGCCGCGCCATCTCAATCGCGCCATCCTGGGCTTCATCGTCCCAGACACTGCGCCCAGACTCCTTCATCCCCTTGGCCCACTTGCTCTGCTTGTGCCGCAGCGTCATGCGCTCCTCCGCCCGCTTGCGCTCCCGCTCCATCATCTCCTCCTCGCCCACGACGCCGCCCTTCTCCAGCGCAAGCGCCTCCTCGATCGCCTGCTCCTGGCGCATGCGCTCCTTCTTGTGGACGCGGTGGTAGGCCTTTGACTTGATCTTCTTTATGCGCTTCGCCTTTAGCTCCTCTCTGTACAGCAGCTCCCTCGCCATGCGGAGCTCCGCCGTCCGCTTCTGCACCTCCTCGATGGAGAGCTTGTTCGTCTTGAGCTCCTCAAACTCGGCAATCCTCTTCTCGGACTCCATGTTCGACTCCTTCAGGATGCCCGAGATGGTGGCCTCGAGCGCCGTCAGCGGCGTGCGGCCCGTGGCGGTCGTGATGGACAGGAGCCGCTTGGGCGCCTGGATGGGCGCGTTTGGCGCGTTGGGGAGCGGGAAGTGCAGGTGGTCGGCTTCGCGGTTCATCTTGACGGTGTCGACCCAGCGGCCGAGTGTTTCCTTCGTCTTGACATATGCCGCGGCACGGTCGATGCGGTCCTGTTGGCGCTTTGCCAGCGGCGCTGACAGCTTCCCCTGCACGCCGGAACTCTTTGTGCCGGCGGGGGCAGTGTCGGAGAGGACCTTGAGCGACTTCTTCAGCTTGGGGTCGGTGATGGTGGGCATCAGGTCGTCGAGGGTGAGCTTTTGGGACGCGGTGCCGATGGAGAGGTTGTATTCGTTGGGCGTCTTTCCCTCGTTGGGGTCGTCGAGGCGCACACGCTTCGCGGCGTGCTTGGAGCCCGAGGGGAGCGCGGTGATGAGGGACTGGAGGGCCTCGAGCTTCGCGGGGTCCTCGGGGGTGTCGTCTTCTTCCGAGAAGTGCGCAAACGAGTCTGTATCAGAGTCGTCGCCATCTGAGGGCTCCTCCTCGTCGTCGTCGCCGTCTTCGGACATTGACTCCTCCAGATCCAGCCCATTGTCGCTGTCGTCCTCCGACTCGGATTCCGGAGCTGCACGCTTCTTCGACTTAGTCTGCTGCGGCTTCCTGGCCGTCTTCTCCGCCTTCTCGTCGTCTTCGGGCTCCGAATCGCTCGGCGTCGCCCGATCCAGCATCTCAGAGAGGTCCACGAAGCCCTCCCCGTCCTCCTCCGACTCGTCCTCCTCCTCCTCCTCCTCGTCATCGTCGTCCCCGCTCTCTTCCAACGTGACCTCCTTCCGGCCCTTCGCCTTCTTCGGCCTCCCCGTGGAGCTGCTCCCGCGGAACGCAAAGTCCGCGAACCGTTCCTCGTCGCTCTCGCCCATCGCCTCGTCAGAGTCAATGTCGCTCTCGTCGTCGCTGTCGACGCCAACCTTCCAGTGGCCGCCGTCCGAGTCGCTGCCGCCGTCTACGCTCTCGTCGTCCCCACCGCGGCCCCTGCCAGCGCCTTCTTCGTCGTCATCGTCGGATTCGTGCTTGCGTGCCTTGTGTTTCTTGGACGGAGCTTGGCCGAGGCGGCGGGCGGGGATGCTGGGTCTGTCGGTGGTGGTGGACTGTGCGATTGAGAAGGCGTTCAGAGAGCGGTTTTTTGGGTTGTTGCGGGCGCGGGTGCGGTTGCCTGGTGGGCGGGTGCCGGTGGTGCGCGGCATTGTGATGGGGGTGGTGGTTTGGGGGGTTGTGGTGGGGAAGAGAGTGGTGGTGGGATGTTGGGAAGGTTTTTTTTGCGTGGGTTGTGGGTGCCAAGGGTTGGGGGAGCCGCATGGCTTGGCGGTGGGTGTGAGGTCAGGAGCTGGCAATGTGAGCAGTACAAAGAACACCCCATAATAATATTATAATTAAAAAAGCAAAATATCCTGATTCCCCCCCACAGCGGCCTTCGCCAGCACCTTCTGGTATCACCCAATTCCAATTGCGCTTCAATTGGTTGGAATCCAACCTATTGCTTGGTCGATTAGCCCCGACTTGCAAACAAGATTTCTCCAAACTACACACCAGCCCAATCCCAAAGCTCCCCGAAAAGCAGCCCTACTATTTAACACCCCCCAAAACCAACCACCACCCAATCGAGTGATTCACTATGCATCACTCGCCCATCCATCCCGCCACCCCAACCAGTCTTCCTCCTAACCCTCACCCCACACTCATCAGCACCAAGGCCTCTCCGTCGACCTCCTAACCCTGCCTACTCCCCCCCCCACACACCCGTTAGCCCCTTCCCCCCCCTACCTCCCCCACAAAACACAAAGGACAAAGACACTCACCGTCCTTATGCCGCACGCCACTGGCAATCTCGCGCTCAATCTTGCGCTGCCGCGTCCGCCGGTTGCGCTCGTTGTTGAGCTGCCGCCGCTGCGCTTCTTGCGCGCTCATGTCGTCCTGTCCACACTATTAGCCACACCCGAACGGTAGGCGGAGACGGGGGATAGGGAGGGGGTGCAGTAGGTAGAGAGCTAGGGGTAGAGGGAGGGGGATAGCAAGTGGGAAGGGAGGCGGGGGAAGGGCCATACCCGCCGTGTGGTAGTCCGGATCTTGGCTGTGACCTTGGGGCGCGGGAGGCGGGCGAGGCGGGGGGTGGGGGTGGTGGTTTGTGGCGTCGGTGGTAGTAGTGGTGGTGGTGGCGGCGGAGATGGAGATGGAGGCTCTGCTTTCGGTGTTGTCGATGCTGGGTCTGGTTCTGGGTCTTGGGTGGTGGTGGTGGTAGCGGTAGTGGTAGTGGGAGGAGGATGGGGTCTGTCTTCAGGCTTGTTCTCAGGCTTGGGGGAGTGTGTTGTGGCCGTGGGGTCGTGGGTAGCTGTATCTGTATCTGCCATGATGATGATGATGGTGATGGGTGCAGCTTGGTTGTTGAGGTGTAGATGTGTAGCTAAGTTGTATAGGTTATGTTATAGGTAGAGGTAGAGGTAGAGATAGAGGTGTGTAGCTAGCTATCGAAGTCTCCAGAACTCGAGCTCGAGCTCTAGCAGCTCGCGTGTGTGCGTGCCCCCCTTACCACCACGCCGAGACCCAGCCAGCCAGCCAGCCAGCTCGCTAGCCAGTTGTACGTACCTGCATGTCTGCATGTCTGCATGCACACACACACACCGCGTCGACCGCATCATCCAGCATCACTCGACTGCGCTCTGGATAGATTCGTAAACTATATTATTTATTCGTACCGCTTTATTTTTTTTTTTCTACTCCGACCGACCGATTGACCGACCCGTAATAACAATAAGAGCTAATAACTATACCCGCGCGCCCCCCCTTACGCCACCAGCTACTACTACTACTACTACTACTACTCCCTAACTCCTGCTGCTACAGGAGGATAAACAAAGCAAAACGAATAAAAAAAAGAAATAAGAAAAAGAAGTAGAGAAGCCAGCCCAGAGTGTGCATCAGTCACACACCAAGGCGCCGCGATAGCAGCTTGCAAGCAGTAGTAGAAATAACCTGAATAATAAACAAGAAGCAGAGAATCGAAGAAAGGGGGGATAATAATACGGCACCTCGACGCACAAAAACGTACATATATTCAAAAGGAGGCGGGAGGGGGGGGGGGGGGGTAAGAAAAAGTAATAAAGTGGAAGGGGAAAAAAAAAGTTCGTCAATATCGTCAAGTCAGTAATAATAAGAAGAACACCGCAAAAAAAAAGGAACCAAACCCATCATAACCTAAAACAACGACTCCCACCAAAAACAAAATAAAAAAAAAGACCAATAAAAAAAAAGAAAGAAAGAAAGAGGCATAATTCACAGAGAAAAACCGGGTATGTTTATAAACCAAAAGTAAGGCGCAAACCATCACAAAAAAAAAAGGAGAAAAAAAAAGAAAAAATATAAAGGTACATATTGCACCCCACAAAAAAAGATAGCCCATCGATCGCCCCCCGCCAAAAAAAAACCCCCCACTACTACCTCTGCCCGCCCCTCGACTCCCACATCCTCCTCTCCAGCTTCTTATACACATCCGTCGCCCACGCCGCCACACGCTCCTTATCCGCCGCGCCATTCACACTCACATGCTCGACCGTATTCTCCATCAGCATCTTCAGCACCTCATAGCTGATATCGACCACGCCCTCCCTCACCGGCCGATACGTATCCGGGTTCAAAAACGGGTCATCATACGACAGCATCCTTGCGATCGTCGGCCGCTCGCCCTTGTCCCTCTGCAGACACCCGCTGATGGTAGCGACCAGCGACGCCGGCACGGGCGCGCCGCCAATGCCCGTGGCCGGGTAGTCGATGGCGTAGTTTGGGTCCGGGATGGCGTTGATCTTCTGGTACATTGACGTGAGGTGCGCAAAGGGCCCGCGGCCGTACGTCATCTGGTACAGTATGCAGCCCAGACTCCAGACGTCGCTGGGCGCGCCGAGCTTCATGAGGCGCGGGGCGCCGACGCTGGCCATGGCCTTGCCGGAGGCGGCGTTGATGTCCACGATGGCCTCGGGCGACATGTAGTTTAGGGTGCCGACCTGCGACTCGCGGTGGACGTTGACGGTGTCGTCGGCGATGGCGTTGGCGATGCCGAAGTCGATGAGCTTGAGGCGGCCCTGGACGACGAGGAAGTTGGCGGGCTTGAGGTCCGAGTGGATGATGTTGAGCTTGTGCACGGATTCGACGCAGAGGAGCATCTCGCGCCAGTAGTAGCGGATGAAGGAGATGTCCATCTGCGAGTCCTCGTTGTTGTGTCGCATCATGAGCACCTTTGCCAGATCGGTCTCGCCGCATTCCATCAACTGGTCCCCCCACCCAGAATTAGTCTCAGAAAACCATGCCGGCAGAAATGGAGTGAGGGGGTGAGGAGGGGGTTTGGGGGGGGGGGGGGGGGTCAGTGAGGGAGGGAGGGAGTGGCTTACCATAGTCAAGCACTGTTTACCATCATTAATCTCCCAGTCATACAACCTTACCACCCGATCCACATGCGCCAACTTCTTCAGCAGGTCGATCTCCCCCTTGTAACCCCGGATGGCCGACTCGCCGTCCTGCGCCGTAAACGTCACCTTCTTCATAGCGAGTATCTTGAAGTTCTCCGCCATGACTTTGTACACCTTGCTCGACCCGCCCTTCCCGATCGCGTCAAGGCGCCTGTACGGCTTCCCATTGACATGCACCACGGACCGCTGCTTCCTCGACGACTGCTGCGCCGCCGTCGCCGACGCCCCCGCGCTCGCCGTGACCGCCTCGAGCATCGACATTTTCGGCGGGGGCGGCGGGGGCGGCGGCCGCAGCGGCGTATTGTTGCTCTTCATCGACAGTACGTTTTTCCTTTCCGGCGACCCGGCTGCTGCTGTTGCTGCTGCCGCCAGAGTCGGAGCGAACGATTTGTACTCCTTTTCCTCCGCAGGAGACGGGGCGCGAGATGCTGCTGCGGAGACAACAGGTTTAATCTCCTCCGCGGCAAAACTCAGCCGCTTTGAAGCTGGCACGGTGGATGTGGGGCGCCGGAACGTGGGTGGCGGGGGCATGTTCTCCTTGTCCTTTGCTGCCAGAACCTGGGGCACAGCTGCTGCCGCCGCCGCCGCAACCGCCGCAGCCCGCAAGGAAGAGGAGCGCCTTGAAGTGTCTGGCGATCCGGACCGCATTTCCTCTGGGGTATTATTTGAAAACAGGCTCATTGAGCGCGGGTGCTGCTGCTGCATTGACGTCTCCGGACTCGATCTCCTGGACCTCCTCGACATCATCGAGAACGAGCCCTCGCCGACCGGCGTCTCCTCGCGCATACTCGTATTCCCGCCAAATCCCTTTGAGCTCGAGCCCGAGCTTGGCTCATCTATCTCCTTGATCTCTATCGGGTTATGCTCGCTCCCCGCATCCTCCACCGCATACCCCTCATACCCCTCCATATCCTGCGGGTCGCTCCCCCTCCGCGGGCCCCTCCTCGGCGGCCCCGCAAGCCCCCCCGCGAGCCCCCTCCCAGCGCGCTTCCACCGGCTCGCCGACGCCGTCGTGGACGGCTGCATCGTCATGGTCGGCTGGTTCGCGCTCGGCTTCGCAACACTCCCATAGTAGCTCTGGCCCTCCTCCTGCTTCAGCTCCTCCGAGTTCCCCGAGGACCCGCCCGAGCCCAGCACGCGCCGCGAATACCTCCCCGGCGCAGGCGTGACCAGCTCGCGAGCAGCGGCATAGTCGGGGCTGACGCTGCGGCGGTGCGTGTGCGGCTCCTCCATCATTGCGTCCCGCGCTGCCGGCGGCGGCGAGCGGTCCCAGCTGATGCGCTTCCGGGGGATGACCGACTCGACGCCGGGCATTGGGTCGGCGGTCGGCGTGCGCGATCCCCGGTCCGACTGCGACTCGGGGAAGTCGTTGAGCAGCATCTGGGCCAGCGCGCTGAGCTGCGGGGCCTTTCCGTCCTCCTCCTCGTCCTCGTCCGAGTCGTTCATTCGGCCAATTGAGAGCGGCGAGCTGCGGCGCGAGTGCGTGAGGTAGGAGCTTTGGCGTCGTTGTTTGGCGGGGCGGGTCAGTGCTGAGAGGGGGGAGGGGGTGGAGACGCTTGCTGACATTGATGTCATTTCTGGGCTGCTGCAGAGGTGCTGCTGCAAGTGGTTCTTTGTTGGGGGTGAAAGAGATATTTCCTTTAATTTCCTTTAATTTTTATTTGCTTTAATAATTAGATGAGAGATCGACTAGCGACATGTGGGTATATTCACGGGGTTAGCTAGTTGGAATAGCGATGCGGGGATGGATGGATGGATGGATGGATGGATGGATGGATGGCCGTGGTGGTGATGGTGGTGGAGTGGTGATAGTGGAGTGGTGATGGTGGAGTGGTGATGGTGGAGTGGTGATGGTGGTGTAGTGGTCGTGTAGTGGTCGTGGTCGTGTCGTGGTGAGTCGTCTGTTTGCTGTCTCTTCCTCTTCTTTCTGCCCGGGGAAAGAAAGAAAGAAAAGAAAAGAGCAGAAGCGAGAAATGGCCTTTTGGGTTTCTGGCTGCATTTCCTTTGTTTACGTCTCGCTTGAGTGGCCTGCAACGGGCACGTCCCCCGTTGCCGCAGCAACACTCACACTCACACTCACTCTCACACTCACACTCACACTCACACTTCGCTACTGCAGAGAGAGTCTGTTCTGCCCCACCATCGCCCCCAATCCACGCCCACTCAACACGTGCGGTTTCTGCTGGCTGCTGCACAGTCTGCACTGCACTGCACTTGGATCGAGAGAGAAAAAAAAACCTGGGCACGAAAAGAACAACTCATAAAGCCTAGCTAAAACAAGACAGCCAGAATCGCTAAATGACTGTGACCATAAACACTAAAAACATGCCATGCCATGCTCTCTCATCTACTTCTAGCTCTACCTAAATCTGATGATGAATTTTATCTCGGGGGGGACATAAACATCTCAAGTGAATCCTTTTCTTTTAGATTACAGAGCGAGTATCATTATTGCTGCTCCCAGCACTCCACTTGCAGTAAGCAATTGCAAAGGGGGCGGGTGCTGTTCCGAACAAACGTAAAAAGTAAAAAAAAAAATGACCGATGCGCACCCCAGCACGTAGCGTCTGTTTGCCTACCGCGTGCTACCTCCCTCTCCCTCTCCCTCCTACTAATACTCCGCTTCATGCCCCTCCACAGGACTGTCCATCGCAACCTCCTCATAATCTACCCACCCCCCCAAAAAACCACATCAGTACCCCAACTCCCTCATATCAAGACAGCCCGGGGGTCAACTCACCTCTCTCCAGCGCCGCCAGATCCTCCCTCGCCTCCGAGAACTCGCCCTCCTCCATCCCCTCGCCCACATACCAATGCACGAACGCGCGCTTCGCATACATCAGGTCGAACTTATGGTTGAGCCGCGACCACGCCTCCGCGATCGCCGTCGTGTTGGACAACATGCTCACCGAGCGGTCCACGGACGCCAGCTCGCCATTGGGCACCGACATTGGCCGCTGGCAGTTGATGCCGAGTTCTGCATTAAAGAGTTTCCATAATTAGTGGGGGGGTTTCCAAGATGAGAGTGTGTGACGGATTGAACATACTGAAGCCGGTGGGACACCATTCAACGAGATTGAAGCTGGCACGCGCCTTTATGGAGGCGACGGCGAGGCTGCAGTCGCGGGGCACGACGTCCCCGCGGTAGAGCAGGGCGACGGCCATGTATTTGCCTTTGGCGGGGTCGCAGACGACCATCTGGTTGTGCGGTTCGAAGCATTGGAAGGTCAGCTCAGAGACTTTGAAGGACTCGTGGGAGCTCCTGGATGCGGAGATGACGGGTGCATAGCTGATCAATGGGTAGTGAATACCTGGAGATCTCTGTGGTCAGTAACTTGCTTGGTGCTGATAGAGTGAAGGATCTATTTACGCGGATAAGGCACCAAGTTCGTCTGGAACTCGCCCAGGTCCACATTCAGATGCCCGTCGAATCTCAGCGACGACGTGATGGACGACACCACCTGCGCAATCAAGCGATTCAACGAATCATGGTCCGGGCGCGGGATGTCCAGGTTGCGCTTGCAGATATCGTAGACAGCCTCATTATCGACCAAGAACGTGCAGTCGGCATTCTCGATGGTGCTGTGCGTCGACAGGACCGCATTGTACGGCTCCACCACGGCCGTGCTCGTCTGCGGCGCGGGGTACACTGCGAACTCGAGCTTCGACTTCTTCGCAAAGTCCGCCGAGAGGCGCTCCAGCAGCAGCGCGCCGAAGCCGGAGCCAGTGCCGCCGCCGAAGGAGTGGAAGACGAGGAAGCCCTGCAGGCTGGAGCAGTTTTCGGCTACGCGGCGGATGCGGTCGATCACGTTTTCGAGGATCTCTTTGCCGATGGTGTAGTGGCCGCGGGCATCTAGATGGAGCACCCAAAGCGTCCCCGTTAGCAGTTTTTGGTCTCGTCTTGCTACCTAGCGAATCGTTCTATTTACAGTTGTTGGCCGCGTCCTCTTTCCCGCTGACCAGGAGGTCGGGGTGGAACAGCTGGCGGTAGCGACCAGTCCGGATCTCATCAATGGGCTGCAGTAGACCTGCATTAGCAGCAGTAACTATCTCATATTCACCCAGCAGCAGCAGCAGCAGCAACAGCTAAGAACAAACAAAAAACCGACCGAGGGATCCAAGTCCACGAAAATGGACCGAGGCACGTATTTCCCATTCCCGGCCTCCGAGAAGAACGTCTCATTTGAGCCACCACCCTCTGCGGTTGTGTTTGGGTCTGGACGGCCATCCATCCCCAGGCCATGTTCCAGGAGGTATCTGGAGCAGCACACACACGGGGGAGTTATGAAGTCAACCCACGGAGCAGGAGAGGAGATGAGAGAGAACTGTGGGGGGGGAAAGAAGTTAGAGCGTACAGTTCCCACGCACTGTTCCCTAGCTGCACACCGGCCTGGCCGACGTGGACGTGGAGGATCTACGGAGGTGAGAAGAGTTGAGGTTAGATGACGGTGCGTGCGTTATTATTATTATTGGTATTATTATCAAGCCAGGGATCAGAATGAATGGGAAAGATCCGATCATGGGCAGCAGCATCATAAGCGACACGATATGCGAGGATATGGAGAGATAGATAGATAGATAGGACGATCGTTGGTCAGGGAATGTGGAATTAGAACTAGAATTGGAAAAACAGCTTGCTTACTTCACCCCTCATTATTGCAGAATCTAATATGGAGAGGAGTCGTTATTTAGAAAGAAAAATGAGGAAAAATTCGGAGAGGAAGAAATGTCAGAATTTTTTAATTGTATGACAAGACAGAACTGGAATAGAGGAGTTGAGAGGATGATGGATGATTGAGTAGAAGGGAACGGGGAGGCTTGGCATTCTGCGTTGTTTAGAGGAATCGACGAGTCGTATCCAAGCGCAAGCCCTTGATGTGGTGTGGTCCCTGTCAGATATGACGCAGGGAGAGGAGAGAGACAAAGAAAGACCAGCCAAACAGAACCCACCAAGCAGCCTTGATTTATCTTCGCCCTTCATCTGGAGTTGAAGGTTAGAGAGCCTTCATCGGACCTATTCATCGGATAAATCAAGGTGCCTCTCTCTCTTTTTTGTGGCTTTCGAGGCACATGTCTCGGCAGGGGGAGACAGCCCGGAATCAACCTCTCCCGGCGTTGGTGGACCTGACTGGACCCTGTCGACATCCACAACGGTTTCCCGTTTTCCAACTTCCAACCTTCCAACCTCCATCCAGCGGCCGGTCCATCGAACGCCCTCCGCTGTTGCAGCCAGCAGGCACATCTGGTCTCTCCCTACCACCACCCAAAAACCGGGATCTACAAACCTTATGACGACAGTGGCGTCATACTTAACCCAAAGGGTCTCCGCCTGTCTGTACCATTTCAGAACTTTTCAATGATCATCACTATTTCTATTCCCTTTTGCTTTAACCCCCCACCAAATCTGCTCCTCCCGATTGTGCTCCAGTTGCACACAGAATTGCTGTCTGTACATCAGTGCCTGATGGGGAGCCTTCCGGCGGGAAGAGGTGAAAAAAATCCAAAATAATGCAACTAGGTACTCTAATTCTCAACAAGTCCCGCGTCTCCCCTGAATATACAGACCCCGTCCACATCCACTACGCGTTTCTATTAGAAATGCCTGCATCTCATTTCCCCAGACCATCTACCTTTGTAAAAGTATCGAGTAGAGTAACTCTGCTAATAATGGATATGGCTGGTATAGCTTGGGAGATTTCAGAACGCTCTACTCTACTCTACGAGCTAGTAGGGTATAAAGACGGGACCATGTCCTTCGTCCATGTACATAGCAAACCAAAACATCACTAAACAAAAAAACCCAATCTCAATTCCCATCTATCTTGAAATTCAAACTAGTGATCCTTGGGTTGATCTCCTCTGATCCCTAAACCAGTCGCTTCCTATCTTTCCCTTCTTGTTCCCTGCTATATTTCGTTATAATTGCGTCGACGAAGCGGCCCCTCCGGAAGCCGATACTTCTCCGATTGTTTCTTCTTATTTATACAGCATACTTCAATGCATACTAGAGTTTGACACTCCCACCACCCACCGCAATGTCGACCCCCATGCACGAAATCCCCGAGCCCTCCTACCCCGAGTTCGGCCCGCCAGGCAGCTACCAATCCCACTCACGGCCCACCACCACCACCACCCCACACCCGCACCCCTCCGACGAGCACACCTACACCGACTCACCACTCACCCGGCACCAGCTCCACGACCTGCGGCCCACCACGGGCACCACCGTCTCCGACGACCTCAACCCGCACCGCCACGTCTCGCAGTCCCGAAAACGGGAGGAGAGCCACCGACTCGACGACGACCTAGAGCTACTGAAGGCGGAGCGCGTGGTGACGAATGCGTCGGCCACGGGGCTGGACAGAAGCAGGAGCAGGAGACACCGCTCCAGGTCCAGGGTCAGCGAGGTGGTGGACCCCGTCGACGATTTTGATATTGCCACGAACCCGGTGCACGACAATGGCAAGGGCGTGTGGCGGCCGCCGGAGAAGCCGCAGAATGGGTTTGCGCAGTTTATGAAGACTGTAAGTACCGAAGAATTGATGTTCTTGAAAATCCCAATGAATTGTAGCTGATAATTTTCCGGAAAGGTTCATGAATCATCGGTTATCATTCGGTATTTCACGTATATCATTCCGCTGGTGCTGATATTACTGATCCCCCTGCTCTTGGGGGGATTGGTGTTTCATGAAGCTGCAGTGGGTGATGTGTATCTGATGTGGTTCATGGTCTGGCTCGAAGTAGTCTGGCTCTCCCTCTGGGCCGCACGAGTAAGTACTCCACACCCCCCCCCCCCCCAATTCCCCCATATAACCCGAAATTGGGCTTTCCAATGCTAACACCCCGCCCTAGATCATCGCCAAATGCCTCCCCTACCTCTTCTCCCTCCTCACCAGCGTCTTCACCAACAACAGCAAAAAATGGAAAGACATGGCGCGCATGCTCGAAGTGCCCGCAACGCTCTTCTTCTGGTGGCTGGCCATCTTCGTCTCCTTCCTCCCCACCATGACCAACCACCACAACAACGGCGACAAGTCCACACGCTACTGGGAGAACCGCGCCAACATCGTTCTCCTCTGCTTCTTCGTCGCCACGGTGCTCAACTTTGCCGAGAAGATCATCATCCAGCTGATCGCCATCTCCTTCCACCAGCGCACCTACGAGGACCGCATCGAGCTCAACAAGTTCCAGATCGGCTCGCTGGCGAAGCTGTATGCCTACTCGAAGCAGTTTGAGAAGGAGCGCGACCTGGACGAGAAGCGGGACTCGAACCTGGCGAGTGGCGTGCGGACGCCCCTGGTGAGGCTGCAGCAGGCGAGGGCCGGCGCGCAGAAGACGTTTAATCGCGTCGGCGATGTGTTTGGGAAGGTGGCCGGCGACTTTACGGGGAAGCAGGTGTCGAAGAGTACTTCGCCGCAGCAGGTCGTGCTCACGCTGCTGTACACCACCGAGGGGAGCCAAGCTGTAAGTTTGATCATTGACCCTATATAACACACCGTCATTATATGTATGATATATCATTACCCATAACTAACACATCTCCCCTCTCCCAATAGCTGGCCCGCCGCCTCTACCGCACCTTCATCCGCGACGGCTGCGAAAACGTCCTAGCCGACGACCTCAAGCACGCCTTCTCCTCCGAAGACGAAGCCGACGCCGCCTTCGTCATGTTCGACCGCGACCTCAACGGCGACATCTCGTGCGAAGAAATGGAGCTCGCCTGCGTCGAGATCGGGCGCGAACGCAAGGCCATCGCCGCCTCGCTCAAGGACCTCGACAGCGTCATCGGCAAGCTCGACGACGTGCTCACGTTCATCGTCGCCGTCATCGTGGTCCTCGTCTTCCTCAGCCTCATCTCAAAGTCCACCGCCAACGTGCTCACCTCCGCCTCCAGCGCCGTGCTGGCGCTCAGCTGGCTCTTCTCGGCCACGGCCCAGGAGTTCCTCGCGAGCATCATCTTCGTCTTTGTGAAGCACCCGTTCGACGTCGGCGACCGCGTCGACATCTACAACACGGGCGCCGGCACAATCGACACCTTCTTCGTCAAGGAGATCGCACTGATGTACACGGAGTTCAAGAAGCTCGAGGGGCACGTCGTGCAGGCGCCAAACTCCCTCCTCAACACGCTCTTCGTGCTGAACATGCGGCGGTCCGGCGGCCTCGCCGAGGCCATCCCCGTGGTGTGCAAGTTCGGCACCTCCCTCGAGCAGATCGAGGAGCTCCGCGAGCGCCTGCTCGCCTTCGTCACCGCCGAGAAGCGCGAGTACCAGCCCAAGATCATCACGGAGCTGCGCGACATCCCCGACATGCACAGCGTCAAGCTGAACGTGGTCTTCTTCTACAAGAGCAACTGGCAGAACGAGCTGGTGCGCCTGCAGCGCCGGAACAAGTTCATGTGCGCGCTCATGGTGGCCGTCGACGAGGTCGGCATCGAGTCGCCGAACATGCGCTGGCCCGGGCAAAAGAGCAGTCACCCCGTCTTCCTCCAATCCGTCAACAACGACCAGCTGCAGCAGTCCGTGCTCGACCGCGGCGCCGGACCAGATAAACAGGACGGCGAGTACCGCCCCTTCATCCCCGGCGGCGGTGGAACACCATCCGGCGGCATCCTCCGCCCAGACCACAACCTAGACCTCACGCGCAGCACCAGCCTCGGCCGCTCCTCCAGCCGCAGCGGCAACAAAAAGGTCGACTTCTCACTCGGCGTGAAGGACATCGCGTCCTCCGACGACTCGGGCGACGTGTTCGAGGACCGGCGCAAGCAGCAGCACATCCCGATGGTGAAGGTGCTCGAGGAGCGGGAGCGCGAAGAGGCGGCAGAGGCGGCAGAGGCAGAGGCGGAGCTGGCGCGGACGACGTCGCGCAGCAGCTCAGAGTACCGCGGGGAGGGGGTCCAGCGCCGCAGGGCGGGGAGCGCGGGGGGCAGCGTGGTGAGCCATCAGAATAGGTTTTTTGGCGCGAGGAAGAGGAGTGTAGATGTGGAGGCGGGGAGTGCGCAGGGGCCGGTGGACCGCGGGAGGCTGAGTGTGGATTATCAGAGGCCGGGGTCGGGCGCGGGGGCGAGCGCAATGAGGGCGAGTGTGGAGTCGGGGGAGGAGGAGGTGGGGGTGCGGAGGTTGTAGGTGGGGGTTAACTCTGGGGCTCTGGACTCGATGTCTACCGAACTGCAGCTGAGGAGGTTAATGGTTTGTATTAAATTAGATTTTTATTATTTCTATTATATTATAGCTTGTTGGTACTTCTGTACGAGTCTTTTTGTTTTCATTGACGGAATGAGTATACGAGATCTTTCTTGTATGTAAATAAGTCTTGCTTCTAAATGTATTATATTTTTTTATTTATTTCTCATTTCATTTCTAGTCAGTCAGCTAGCAGCTCAGCGCTTTGGCGTGTGATACGTTATGGAATATAAATGACCAGCGCCTCCACGGATATCTATCATACACCCACACCCACAATACAATGCCCAAGTCCCACTCCCCACAAAACCCAAAGTCCCCCCTTTCCCCAAACGCCCCCATTCCCATCTATTTATTATGTATCAAAAAGTCCCTAATCCCCGTCCACGTCTCCGCATTATCATACCTATCACACCCACATTAGCAACCCAACTCCCCACAGCCAAAACCAGCACAAGGAATACCCACAAATACACCATACTACTCCTCATACTCCCCTGCACCGCCTCGGGATACCACCTAAACAACCACATAACCATCGCCCAACTCCCGCCCGCAAACAGCGGCCACGCCACCCTCCCCACCCTCTCCCTCGCCTTCTCGCCCCTCACCACGCCCAGCGGGCCATCACTCACCGTCAGCTTCGCCAGCGCCAGCACCACCCTCGCAAACACATACACCACGATCTGCATATTGACACTATTACCACTACCGCCGCGGCCAAACACGACATAGCCGCCCAGCGCGCCGGCCACGAAGCTGTCGGCGCTGCGCTCCTTGCCCGTGGGGCTGACGTGCCGCAGCGCCAGCATGGCGGTCTTGTAGAGCGTGACGAACAGGCCCAGGTTCATGGCGTGCGTGCGCGTGGCCGTGAAGATCTGCGAGGCCTTGGAGCGCAGGGTGCCGGAGCGGAAGAGGAGCACCATGACGAGGGCGTGGGGGAAGCGCACTTTGGTGCCGTAGACGAGGCCGTTGCGGAGGCCCTTGAGGATTGTGAGGAGGTCATGGTTGCGGGGGTCGAGGAGGAAGGTGGTGATTGTTTCCTGGTGGGGGGTTAGTTTGGTTGGGTGGAGGAGGGGAAGGGGGGTGGGGAGGGGAGGGGAGGGGAGGGGAGGTACCTGGAGGGCTTGAAGCTTTGAGGGGGCTATAGGGGCGGCCATGGCGTCTGTGGGGGGGGGTGGAGTCTACTGTGTACTGTCCTGAGGGGTTTCTAGATAGCAAGGTGTTGGAGTAGTCTGAATACGAGACGCGTAGAATAGAGACGAGACGTAGAATACAGAGACGTAGATATAGCTGTAGACGTATATAGGTGTATAGACGTAGATGTAGAGGTAGAGAAAGGAGCGCAGCGGGTGTGGGGAAACCTAGCTTCCCTCCCGGGCCAGATCCGGTGTCGGGGGACAGACACAATCCAGAAGATGGCTTGCTCCACCACATGTCACAGCTCGGCCCACTCGGCTGCGGTTGCGGTTGCGGTTGCGGCTCTCTGCGAAGCTTGGTTGCATGTGACAGAGAGACACAGAATTTAAACCCGGGCACAGACAGACACACAGCGATGTGAGGTCATCGCAGAGCGGTCGTTGGCACTGGCGGGGAAGTGAGCGAGTGAGCGAGTGAGTCTTGGAATATCACTCGACTACATGAGATGGGCTGAGTGAGGAGCCATGACGGAGGAGGAGGAGGGGGTTATATGCACTGGGTAATTGGTGTGCATTACCATGGGTACTGTACGGCAGTGCGTGTTCCAACGGCTATAACAAGACCTATGTAGCTATTGGGTGAGATCGAGAAGAAAGACGATGATGATGTTAACAGGACTGCTAGCTAGAGTTTCCAGCGTTATACGACATTATTGAGGACAGGCCATAATTATACAAGTCCACGGTTCAGGTAGTGTACGTAGCTCATGACATGCACTGGGCATTCTGCGGACGGTGCGCATATTGTGTGGCCAGACACAGCCTATTTGGAGGCATATTAATCATTTACTCATCTATCTACTCGGTGATAATTCCTCACAACCATACATGTAATTAAAGGTCTCTCACGATGTCTCGAGTGTCAATGATCACGCCCCCCCGGATTTCCACAACTTAATGCTGGATGACTAAGAAACCCACTCCATGCGCAAATCCAAATCTACAAACTTAGCAAAAACGCCTGCAACCAACCAACCCCGCCGCCAGCCAGACCAAACCCGCAATGTCCTTCAAATTCAACTTTTCCACCGGCGGCGACAGCGACAGCGACGATGACACCCCCATGACCGCCGCACCCGCCCCCGCCCCCGCCGCACCCACAGCCGCCCCTACCACGCCCGCGCAGCACCACACACTCGCCTCACTAGTGCGCCCTCTCCCTCCCCCCCCCCCTCCACAACCCCCACAGCTAACACCTGCCAGATTAGCACACTCCCCCAGAACATCTCCTACACCACCCTGCATCCCACCCCCCACATCCGCCTCCCCCGCCGCGAGCTCTACGATGTCCGCATGCAGCTCATGTCCGAAGACCCACTCTCCACCTCCACCACCCCAAACGCCCTCATCGGCACCTCCGACATCCACACCTCCGTCTACGAGGGCGGCCTCAAGTCCTGGGAGTGCTCACTGGACCTCGTCCAGCACCTCTTCAGCACTCCGCTGACACCCACCCCTACCCGCGTCCTCGAGCTCGGCTGCGGCACGGCGCTGCCGTCACTACATCTCTTCCAGGCGGCACTGGTCAGTGGCACGCCTTGCAGCTTCACACTCGCAGACTACAATGTGGATGTGCTGCGGCTGGTGACGCTGCCGAATCTGCTGCTGGTGTGGTGCATGTTGCGCGCTGGGGCAGCGTGGGAGGATGAAGGGGATCTGGAGGTGACGCAGGAGCTAGTGGACGAGTTTGTGGCGACGCTGGAGAGCCGTGGGGTGGGTGTTGAGTTTGTGAGTGGTGGGTGGGGGGAGGGTATGTTGGCGCTGTTGGGGGGTGCTAGGTTTGGGCTGGTGTTGGGGTCGGAGACGATTTATTCGCCGGCCACGTTGGGGCTGTTTACGGATGTGCTGTTGGGGACCGTGGAGGAGGGAGGAAAGGGTTTAGTGGCGGCAAAGAGGATATATTTCGGGGTTGGTGGAGGCGTGGGAGAGTTTCTGGAGGTAGTGGAGGCGAGGGGGGGGTGGGTGACGAGGATGGTGAGGGAGGAGAAGGAGGTGGGCGTGGGGAGGTGCGTGGTGGAGGTTGTGAGGAAGTAGGTGGATGGCTGAATAGATAAATAGATGGGTGGTTGTAAATATTGCAATTCCAGGGAGTTATGGGACCAAAAGCTGAGCTTTCATTTAACTAGTACTAATTCTCGTCGTCGTTAGTAGTAATCCGGGGTAACAAATAGACAGAGCAATGGGGGAAACCGTTAATATGATAGTAGTGTGTAGAGTAAGGAACATAGAACGCCAAAACCAGCCAGGATAATAGAATTAACTTTTCGCCCATCGATGGGGCAAATCTCAATCCATCCGTCGATATTTTCCGAATTGGCCACAAACTGTTTACAAGATGGAGCCAGATTGCCGTCGGGGTGCCAGTTTCGGGGGGGTGCTTGAATACTAGCACGTGTTGAAAAAGTTGGACGAGGGCGAGACAGAATGAGGGCGAGACAGTTAAGTGACTTGATTCTGATCTCGACAAAGAAACTAACTAGCTATATGGTCACGGATCGGACAACTGTCATTAGACAGCTGTCTTCGACATGACAAGGACAGGTCTCGACATGACAGATCACCCGTACCCGTTCGACATCATTTGAAAAGCCAAATATCCAACAGCACGGGCTTTAATAATTAATGAATTAAACAAAAAAAAAAAAAAGCACGGGCTTTAATATCTACGAGTGATACTTGATGATTATAAAATTATACGCCAACCACCTCCCCTCCCGCGGGTATATACGAGTGACTTTCTATGATTCCCCTCCCCCCTCCCTTTCTCCCCACCATACATGTGCCGACAACCCATAGCTTCATGGCACAGCTCACTCTCACTAATTTTAACGCCTTCATACAAGAGAGGTTTACGGGTTGTTTCACCGATACCTAGCTAGTTGCTACCTGCTCCGCCCAGTCTATCAAAAGTTGTTTCGTTAGCATAAGTGAAAATGCACCTCTCTGGGTAGCTATAGGACGTTTGCCGAGGTCGAATCCTCACGGTGCTTGTTTTTTGTTCAATTTTTATTTTTAGCTGCGGGGATAGTAGAGCTCGAGCTAGGTGGATAATCTATTTTACCACTACACACTGCCCAACACATTCCTTTACAGGCCCTCACTCCCTCTCCAGCAGATTCCTAGTGATTCTCCTCGGTGTGCAGGATCGAACTATGAAGTAGTATACCGCGTAAAAGTACAGGTTAATAATTACCAAATTTCGTATCTAATATACTCCGCGCCCCCCCCCCTTGCCCCGTAAAAATAGGTGCGTACACGATGGCCTCGTGTTTGCTCACTGACAGACCCGTTCCCAAAAGAAAAGATAGTAAGATAAAGGGACATAAAAACCGAGTAGAGAAGAAAAGAACCGAAAAAAAAGAAAAAAAGAAAAAAAAAACCGCTATAACTAAAGAGAAAAAAAAAGCACCCTCACCCCCCCCCCCCTCTTACACTACCTCTTCCCCCCCGCCGCCCTCCTCTTCAGCCACTCCGCAATCTGCTCATGCCTCGTCACAAACATGCACCTCTTCGCCACACTCTTCCACTTGAGCACGCCCAGCTCGCCCGCATACCTCGCCACGTCCTCAAAGTCCTGCGCCGTCGTAAAGTCCTTAAACAGGAAGCCCTGCGTCGCCTTCATTCGCTCGCCCTCAATCTGCCACAGGCGGATCTGGTCGACGACGGTGGGCGGGAGGATGACGAGGTTCTTGCGCATCTGCGGGTGCGCGTGCACGGTCAGGTAGCTGATGATCTGGTCGGCGGTGATGCCCATCTTAATGGCTTCTTGGATGGAGTGGCGGGAGATGCGGCCCGAGACGAGGTTGGGGAAGCGGGTGGTGAGGCGGACGAAGAGGTTTAGGACTGCGATTTGTAGCGGGGAGTCTGTTTTTTGTGTTAGCACTACTACTGCTGCTGCTGCTGCGCTGGTAAGGGGGGGGGGGGGGGGTCATACTGGTGTAGGCGTAAACGCGGTAGTTCGTCTCAACAATGACAAAGCCCTTCCCGCCATCATCGGCCTTATCCGCGCCCGTCGCCACCTCCATCGTCTGACTCGCGCTACGCAAGCCGCCGCTCTCACTCGTCAGCGTCGTAGCTAGGCGCGTGGGGTAGAAGCGGTCTGAGGAGGCCTTTCGCTGATACACGATACCGTAGTCGCGCATGTCCGTGAGCATGGTGCGCTGCGTGAGCGTCAGCGTGTCGACGGCGTATGCCTGCCCGAGCTCCAGCGAGCCAAGCATCAGGAAGAAGTGCAGCACGTCCGTCTTCTCCATCTTGAGGTCCTCGGCGTAGTCCAGGTACTGGATCAGTAGTGCCCAGATCTGGGAGTTGCCTTCCTGGAGGAGGAAGGAGAAGCCGTTCTTTGTGATTGTTGCCTGGGTGCCCTTGCCTCTGCTGCTGTTAGCCTTGTCCTCCGGGTACGTGGGGTGGGGAAAGAGAAGGGGGGGGGGGGGGGGTGTCATACTGCCGCTCCATCAGCTTCCCGATACACAGCAGCTCAATGACGCCATCGCCGGGCTTCGTGTCATTGTGCGTGCCCACCATAAAGTGCAGGATGCTCTCAAACTTCTTCTGCGCATACTCGTCGAGGAAGGCCACCGTGACGTTCTTCTTGTCGGGCGTGTTGCACGGCACACCAAACGAGTGGTGCGACCCGCCGCCCGTCAGCGCCAGACGAAAGTTCTTCTTGAACACGGGGTCGAGGCTGATGCCATCCGCGGCCTCGGCGATGATGTGCAGTCGCCGCAGCTTGCTGAAGGCGTCTTCGCGCTGACGGTGTGATTCGGGCCGGATCAGCGCTTCGAGGTCTGCCAGGGGGATAGGCTTGTCATTGTAGAGGAGAGTGGTCACTATCACTTTGGCTGTTGGGGGAGTTAGTGCTGCTGAGTTTGGGGGGGGGGTGGGGGGTGGGGGGTGAGAGGCACCCCCGGGTGGGTGAGTGCGCGTACCTAGGTTTGGGAGCATGCGGCGGAAGATGGCGAGGGAGGTTGCGGGCTGCTGGTACAGGCGGCGGAACGTTATTGGAGGGAGGTTCTATAGCGGTGTCAATTCCATCTCAACTCATTCACAAATGACTTCCTGCTCGCTCGACGGCACCCCCGAGAAAACCGACTGACCTCCAAGTAGCTGAATCTGCAGAGGGCGTTAGCTGTGTGCGCGAGCCCTGCCAGTGAGTGGGAGCTGCACGGGAGAGACTTACCCTCGAATGTTTCCGCCCGACATTGTGGGAGTTCGCGAGCTGTAGAATCGCCTTTAGAGCTCCAGCTTTCTTGACGGGCGGCGGCGGAGGTAACTATGGCTGTGTGACAGAGAGCTTGGGGGCTGCCAGTTACCCGGAGGTGATGGTTAGGTAGGAGGTGGCTTGGCAGGGACGGTGTTGAGTGGTGTTGTGAGTCCGCAATGGAGGGTAAGTCGTGAGTGAAATGCAGAGTGTGAGTGAGTTGTGGTGATGATGGTGGTGGTGGTTGTAGCTTGAGTGCGAGTGAGAATTCAGACAGCGCGGGTGGCAGGGCAGGTTGATCATTGGCTCCACGTGACTGGTCGTTAATTACGGATGACTCGACCGTGCTGTGTGCTATGTGATGTGATGTCTGGACGTTTTGGTACGTTGTGTGCACTTCATGCAGCTTCTGGGTCTTCTTGATATCGAGGTGATTCCATGTGCTAAAGTGGAGATGCGTGGGCTGGAGAATTTCGGTGCGAGTGATGGCTGGTGATTCGTCGATCAGCCAGCTTCGATCCCGCCTCTAGTTGATGCTGCGAATAGGACAGGCGCGGCATTCTTCTTCCGGAGAGAATGACCTCACCACTGTACTCTAGAGAGAGGGTATCGCGCAGCCAGCCCCGGATATCCCCATCCATTCCTGTGACCCTGATCTTAGAGTACATGAAGGTATGAGGTATATACCTACATGTAGGCTAGGAGCTCCATCTCCCCATCTCCTCATCTTCCCATCTTCCCATCTCCGCATCTCCCCATCTCCGCATCTCCTACTCCCTCCCGCTCCCTGCCCTCCCACTCCATGATACGTAGGTGATGTTTCATGACACATAACAACCACCATAGATAGCTAGAGGTCGTGCTACAGCAGACTCTAAAGTATAGCTATATATATTAGTCTCATTTAATACTAACCGCGCAACATTTCTATCTAGATGATATCCCCCCTCGGGAGATCTCGAGAGATATCACATGTCCTTCGATTGATGGCTGAAGATGATCATGATGGGGTCGCTTCCTCGGCAAGTCGTGGGGTTACATCACGCGCTGGGCTCAGGGTCTTTCGCGATCGTTGCCCCTCCATGTGAATTGCGGTGTGTGCCCCTATATATACTCTCATATAACCTCCAAATTAGTCTCGTATCCAGCCCTTCTACCGGAGGGGCTGGAGTTTTATTATTCTTCCGACCCTTGGTGAACGTCGGAGAGAAGCTGTCGGAAGTCGGGCCCAATTTAGTACATACGGAAAATAAAGCCTTTTCAGCTTCCGACATTAAAATTAAGGTTTAGAGGCTGATACCACATTTCAGCTAGACCCCGACATAGGAAATGGAGAGCGTCGGGGTTTTTTCCCGACATTTTTCGGAAAGTTGCAGCAGGTTTCATAATACTAGGCTCAGTGAAGCGTCGTATCACATAGTAGGAATCTTCAAGCTATTACCTCTCTAGGTAATTTCCATAGCCTCATTAACTATATGTAGGCAATCCGGCTGAAAGTTTAAACTGAGATACCTAAAGCAGTATCTCGAGTTGCCTAATAGAGTAATCTTGCTTAACTTTACAAGAATTGTTCTATGTGTTATTTCGTTCGGCTGAGCCTAGTATTATGAAACCTGCTGTAATATTCCAGATCCTACAGTGAGCAGCTTGCTGCCCGTAGCGGATGTGCACGGAGACTACCTCCACATATACCTTTCATATGCCCCTCTTTACCCCTCCAGCTACCCCCACCTATCAGCACACAATCAATGAATTATCAATTAATCAATCAACAAACCCTCCACCCATCATGATAACCTATCTCTGATAACATAGGTAATAATTCATCTCGCAGATCAACTGCACTTACACACAGTTCACTACCCTTGAAGAAATTACATTTAGCTAATCGACAAACCCTGATATCAAGGTTTAGTGGCGTGGTGCGGGATAAGAGCACCACTCTATGCTTTTTTAACAAAAACAACAAATATAAAAGTGGCCGGCAGATTCGAACAAGATCAACCTCCCAGCGAAACCCTCCGAGGGAGGGGCAGGTTGATCAATACTTGCCGGATTTTTTATTCTGACCGACTCCCCATTGTGGTTCGGACGTAAAGCCGCTTCACAATGGACTTCACCTTGCTATCTTGCCTGTTTTTCACGATATACTCGCCTACTTACCGGATTTGGATTGGACAGAATAAAAAAATCTGGCAAGTACTATCAGCGCTTGATATTATAAAGCTGATAGGCTTATCTCCAAAGGCGAGGGCCGGAAGAAGACTCCTGGGTCAACGGAAAAGAGCGACTAGTGGTATTGCGATTGGGCCTTAGACACACGAGTGATATCTCATGATATAGTTTAACAACTGTAGGTATTCCCACTAGCCGTTGGGATGTAACATTGTGGCCCCAAGATAATACCAATAGTGTCTATATACATATAGGTACGAAACTGAGCTATACGATCTTCCATCGTACTCCCGTGGCATACGCGTCGTGACTATCAGTTACGTATACTACAACTGCAGACTTACGACAAGGGATTGGTAGCCTGACAACCTGTCTTCAATAATACCGCATAAAGCAGTAAATTATCATCTTCCTTCTCATCCAACAGTTTGGTCTCATTATATGTAATCATTGGAACACGCAACGTCTTGCAGCACCGGCCTAGGAAAGCGGCCCATCTTGACATTCACCACTCGATCACCAGGGCTTACCGGGGAAGTACTATCCCTCTCCGGTTCTAGTTGATGTTTCACTTGATATCAACTACATGTACCCCTCATTCTAGGTAACAGAATTCCCCGCGAGGAAGTATGAAATATATCTTTAGCTCACTTAAGACGAGTCAAGCTAGGCATAAGCTCTACGACCAAAATAATTAGCGCATAAAGGAAGCTGGAAATATTATCAAACATACAAATCATTCCAAACCTGGCAAAGAACCTGCCGTAAAGATAAAAATCGCAACCGCAGATGCTTAAAACCCCAAGTACCGGCAGCTAGGCCACTGACATTCGCTTGCCTCTTTTACTCCAAATCTGGAAAGCGGGTGAGATATATCGTGGAGATATGGGCAACGTACAAAGCTAAAGAAGTCTCGGTCGTTGATCAGTGAAGTCTATGACCGAGCGCCCAATAACCTGCGCTACAATCATTGACCCAGCGGCAGACACGTAACGCACACCGGCAGCGAAGCGAGATACGGCTCGCACAAAAGACAGCGATCGAGACTACTGCTACTGTTGGGTTTATATACATCGTCCAAAGCTACGTACTGTCGTTCACGGGGTATTGGCGGATACTGGGTGTTGGCGAATTGCAGGTAAAAGTTGGCTTGGGTGTCTCTTTTTTGCCCTGTCCGCCATCACCCAGTATCCGCCAATAACCCGTGAACGACAGTACTCTACTCTACTGGTTATACGCCAATCTTGCGCAATAAGAAGAAAATAAATTTGTTGAATCCAGTCGTACCACACGAGATTTTTTTGTTGGGAGCAACGACGTCAGCTGCAACACTTTTATCTCAGATCTGTCCATCAGCTACCAGGTTTCATAACTGTGGGAATGACCGCACCGGACTGTGACATGCGGGGTGCAGGCTTTTCGAAACCGTGGAATAAATGTGTGTACCTGCAGCCGGCGGGGCTGTCATTTAGCTATGGGTTAAGAGTTAAGTAGAGGAAGAGGAGAGGGGGGGGGGGGGGGGGGGTAAGGTATGTGTAGCGTGATATTGTACCTAAGTACTCGAATGGTATTTTAATCACAGACCTCACTAGGCTGTGACTTTGGGGGGGGTTGCGCTTGTAGTGTTATTTGGTGTGGCCTTGTGAGATACTGGTCTTAGCATTTTATGAAAGCTATTTATTTTATATCAATACTACCCAGGCGTGACCAGTCAGGACTTCCTAGAATTCAATGCTTTCTGTTCGCTGTTCGGTTTCCCACTGCAGAGCATGCTTGATAGCAAAATTTTGAAGTCAATGCAATGTTAGACATGTATGTGACCCGATTCGTCGATCGGCAATAGATGATATGACTTCACGTCGACTTGTTGGGATAGGACTTTAGGTATTCTAATCATGAAGGGCTTAAGTTTGTTCCTCAATTCATCGCTTTGGTATCTAGCAAAAGAGTCATTTCTGCGACCCTACAATTATTCAAACCAATGTAAGTGGCTGAACCCCGCCGATGGGCCAATTTATCGCCCGACCTTCAGGTTATTGTACGCCGCATCATATGTACTTACAAAGGGCCAAATCGTAAGCCAAAAAACTACAAAGAGAAAGCAGGAAGGAAATGATTTAAAAGAAAAAGCAAACACCAAGAATCACCATTAATTTCAAGGCCCCTCGCTCTTCTTCTTCTTCTTCTCCTCAACCTGCTCGATATTATCCACGGGCACCTCCGGATACTTCTCCTCGATATACTCCAGTATATCATCACTCAGGTCTCCCTGAACCACAATCTCATCCTGTCCCGCGGCCGCCCCCTTTGTCACGCTGCTCCCGCACGCAAACTTCTTGCCAAAGTCCTTCGCAACCTTCTTCAGGTCCAGCCCGAACGCCTCGAGCCCAGTAACGACAATCACATGCTTGCGCTTCGCACGCTCAACCCGCTTGAGGACAATCTTTGACGAGAGCTTCTTAGCGAGCTCGCGCTCAGCTTTCGCGGTTTCCTTGATTGCCTTCTTCTCCGCGGCCTGCTCAGCCTTTTCTGCGCGAGCAAGGGCGTCCACGGTTAGGTGAGACATTGCAGCTTCGACGGCTTCTGGAAAGGTGGATAAGAAAAGAACCACAGTCAGCCAGTGTCCCATAAGCCTGAGGATAGATAAAAACAGAACATGTGGGGGTAGAAGTGGGGGGGGGGGGGGGGGGGGGGGCCCAACCAGTGTTGTAAACCGAGGCCACAAGGTCAGGGTGATTCTCTTCGAGCCATTCTTTGCACTTCTTTGCGGAGCTGCCGAACTCGCAGTACTTTTTGACTCGGTGTCGAGCGTTAGCATCACGTCGATGTACTGCCTCGCAGAATCAAAGAGCTGTGTCCGTGGGATAGGTTGGGTACCTCCGGGGGTAATGTACACACTACCACCATCACCGACGCACCTCATCAGCATTGCAAATCGGACATCAAGGGGTGGGGGAAGGGATCCAAAGAAGAACTGCCAATCGAAGATCTTACCTCCGCAGTAGAGAACGACCCTAGCTTGGGGCTCCTGGGGAGCTGCTGCTCCAGCTTCTTCGTTGTTGTTGTTGTCGGCCATTTCTTGATGTAACTGAGCTGTGTGTATCAGATGGTGGTAGTGGTGGGGTTTTTCGCGGGGGGACGTGTAGTCAAGATTGCGGCTCAACTGAGGGGTTCGTTCCCACTGGCCCATGCCACGGTCCCGCAGGCTTGGAATTTCTTCGATCCCACATATGCCGACATATGTAACTCTCGAGTCCATATACCAAACCTGGACCCCCATCCGCGATCAAGGTTTGCGACTTTGTTCCTTCGGAGCTGTAAGAAACATCAGATGTTTCGCCAATTATTTCCCCGGATTTTGCTCTCTCTGTACACACGATCTACGGAATAACCTACAGACCCCGACTGCTCGGCCTGCGCGCGCGATTGGCATGTTGTCTGTCTCAGGCCATCAACTTTTTACGCCGTTCCCCAGCACAGCTTGGATACTCATCCCCATCACAGCCCCTCACTCGGAGAAATGATTCGACTTTGCGCACAGCTACAGCTTTGCTTACTCACCTTTCACCTCTTTCTTGCTGGATTCCCAAAATAATCAATTCAGAGAGGAAATAAAAGTCCTACGCGCGCAGAAACACGTCATGATCGGGACGCTAGCTGGTTATAGTAAAACTATGTAGGAATCGACAATTCTTTATTTCACTCGGATCCCTCTCTCGTTCTCTCTCTCTCGATGCTATTGTTGTTGCTCGTTGCTCATTGTGTGTGTCGTGAGCGAGCGAGTGAACAGCCCACAATCAGCCCAGACAGATTAAGGGTCCGAAATCGATCTGTTTCATTTCATGCGGTGTTTTTGCGGGGGAAATTGCATGATATCATGTCGCAATAAAACAGCAGGTCGCGTGCCCTCACACGCTCCCCTTCCCCCCGGCCCTATGTAACTACCTAGGTACGCTCGGTCCAGGTAGGGCGCAAAGGAACATGTGTAAAAGGAGAGAGGATTCGCACACGGATATCACTACTCGCGCCGGTCCGGTTTTGTGGACTCGGTCCGGTCGGTAGGGCAAGGGGGAGGGACGCTGACTCTACTTTACCTTCCCTGACATCCTCGGCACCGCCGCTCTGGGTCCTGGTCGTGGAATTCGGGAACCGTGATGCCGAAGGGGTCACGTTTCTTCGAATTTTGAAGGCTGGTACTGTTTAACCGGCCTAACCCCTTTTGAGGCACCGGCGATAAGGAGGAAGGTGTCGGATAAGACATCACGAACATCGACTGACTGCACTCGTGGGCCCTTTTTTTAGATACGAAGGGGGAGGGGGGAAGAAGGGGAGGAATTGAATTGTGGGGTCGAGATCTGGTGCAAAAGCTTGGACTTTCTCATTCCCTGTGCAGCGACTCCGGCTTGGGAATTGTGGGCCGACGACGGAGATGGATGATACCTACATAGCTGGGTGGTGGTGGTGGTGGGCATATCGCCGTTTTGTATGCGTAGCCTGCACCGGCCAACTACAGCGCAGAGGGATGTGTTTGATCCGGGGAGGGTGTATGGGGATGAGGGGGACACCTCTGCTTTCTAGAGGTACATGTAGGTATCATGGGTAACTGGTACTCTAGGTAGAGCACTGACTATGCAACTAACTACTGCTGCAGCTCGCCCCAGAGGGCGGGGAAGTCGGTCTGTCTATGTACTCCATTTTACCAGATACCAGAAACTCTCGGTTATGTAGATATGTTTTCCATGATGCCGCGAAGAGGGGAAGTTGAGGAAGCCAAAGCAAGATACGGTCTCCCTACATAAAAGTACTCATATGCTATGCTATGTTATGCTATGTAGGATCGCCATGAGGTTGCAGCAGCAGGACCCTATTGAGGCGCATAGCATATCAGCAGCGGCGGCCCAGTATGAAAGATTTCATAAGTGCTCCAATGGCGGTGCACATGAATATCGAGCTGCAGCAACAACGACGCCGGAAATTACAAACTAGACCTGTGAAGGGAGAAGTGATACCGATAGGTTTGGGTCAAAGTAGAGCAGGTAGTAGGAAAAGGATGAATTGAATTTCTTAGCGGCATGTCCGTCGAACCTGCATGTTGTTATCATCATCATTGACCCCTCCACGCTAGTGGAGTATAGTAGAGTAGCAATGCAACGGTGCATGCCAGGCTATATGCTGCTACTGCAACCGCAACCATACTCTACGCACAAGGCTAAGCTATTTCTAAACCTAAACAATTTCACAGTTGCTGCTCTGGGAGAAAGAAAGAAACGCAAGAACAACGACGTCCGGACAAACGGACAGATCGGAGAACGAGAGGGGTGGTGGTAAGGGTTTAACATTACGTGCTTGGTGACATTTCAGCCCTGCAGATGTGATGGTCGGCCATGGATGTTTGCTTTGTGGACCCTTCTCTTGCCACTGCTGCCACTGCCAGTGCTGTGATGGGCGACATGAAGTTAGGATCTTGAAACTGCACCTATTCAAGATTCGTTCTAACAAACACCACGTTTGCGTCTCTCCTCTTTCGCCTTCTTACTTGCTGCTGCAGTAGCAGGTATCTACCTACTCTAGTGGACTTCCTTCCGCAATGCCTCATGGCGTGGTTAAAATGGTTAATAATGGTGATAATAATAATAAAATATGCTTTCTGTGGCTTTGGATTGCTCATGTTGATAGGTGTCTACAAGGTGTGACTTCCGACTTGTTTGCAGATACATATAGGATACAGTAGCCGGATGTACCTCTAGTACCCTCCACCTACGTCCATGCTGGCTGGTGTGTTGTTTCCTCAAACCCCGTCGCCGGAAGGAACCCGCTCCCCAGAAATATGTTTCCTTCATGAAACCGCCCCCCCCCCCCCCCCCCCCAAATCCCTGGGGCCGCCCCCGCAATGTTCAGAGTTTGTGGGTTAACTACTAACTAAATAGACCCATCAAGGGGGTGAGAACAGTCCTTCTGTCCGTTGGGGTTGGAGAGAAATCGACGACGAAGCATCATCGTGGTTGGGTCACCGGCCTAACTAGCCAGCTAATTAGGGGTGAGGGACCTCAACAAAACGTGACTTCCGCCGGGGGATGTTGTGGCAAGGTAGAGTCAAAAAATGGGCAGAAACGTAATGGGATGAACGTTGTATGGGTTTCCATAGAACCTTCCCAAGGTACTTCGACATCACAGAGATCATCTTTTGGAGGGGGAAGGGAAAGGGATCGTCGTCGATGTGGCGTCAAACCAGAAAAGCGGGTTCCCCGGGTTTTTTTTCTCTCTCCTCTTTCACGCTCTTCGCAAGGCCATTCGTTGGCCTGGTTGTGTCTGAGAGCGCTCAACAAAAGGTTGAGTGTTGAACCCACAGGGGTGGTACACCGTACAGGTGTTAGCTTGGCATCTATGTTGCTAATGAAAAAACTTTGGGCGGGGGTTGGGGGTGGAAGTTCGGAGGAGGGGTGTAAGCCTTAGACTGGGTTGCTCTTGACATTCTTGGAATTGGGGACTTTGCAAGGCCAGAATTTGGGGGGCATAGAGAGAGAAAGGAGAGCAGGCAGGTACTTAGGTACATGTAGGCATCCAGGAAGCTACGAGATATACGATAGAGCGTTGCAATCTTGCGCGCCCCGGTATTAATGAAATAATAACAGCAACGGGGCAGCTCGCGATTAATTGATACTGAGTTACTTATCACTCACTAGGTGGTAGGGGTGTTTTTCTTTTCCTGTGTCTGCCTGCGACAGCATATTGACGCAGTCGATATATCAATTGGAACCTTTTTTTTCGCAGGGTAGGGGGCATCTGAGGGGACGGTAAACGATTGGATCGTGGAAGGGGAAGACAATGATACAACAGTTACAGGGGGGATAGTAATTCCGGAAGTGAGTGATTGAACCCTGAGAAAGCGGCGAACAGAAGCCCGCAGGGAAGAATCTCCGTTCGGAGTAGGTACAGTCTGTACAGCCCCGACTTGTAGGCCTATCTCCTACTCCACGGTTGTTGTTTTTTTCTTTTCTTTCCTTTCCTTTCCACTGCCTATTGCCGTTGGAATTCAACTGCCATCGTGGGAGGTCGTCGGTCAAAGAGTGTTTCCCTCGACTAGTTGTGTCGACATTTTCGTCTGGATTGGAATTTGATGGTCGCCCAATGTCCCAATCTCCATTTTTTCTTTTAAATTTTATTTTCTTATTCCCTCCTGCCTCAACTCGTAGTTTGATATTGAGAGGAGTGCTCTATCTACATACCTACGCGGAGATAGCTCATATGTACACTCCATTCCTGGTGTGGATTGTTATGATATTGACCCGTAACCGCCCGTCGCACATACGGGAAAGTCCTATCTATCTACGGTTCTATCCCACAACTGTCCATGGTTGTGTATCTGGCTGGTTGGCCAGCCCTATCAAGAAAAGGATTGCGAGGATGCCATGCCGTCCGTTATCGCACAGTTACTCCACCTCCAAAGCCAAAATAGAGTTTTGTGCTTGCTGATCAGAAAGCCCTTTGGAGAAGGGGAGAAGGAACCCGTCTACGTAGGATACTACAGCATATCTACTCTATCTGCTCTAGAGTATGTATGAAACATGTGTGCCCCATCCCCTTCGAGAAACAAAGACAAAGGGGTAGATGTGCGTACAAGATATTCGCTAAAGTACCGGTCATCTCAACGTAATGGTGCAGTCTTGTCGGGGGGTGGAGATAGGCGTGCTAGAGAAGGAATAAAGAAGGAAGGGAAGATCGGTGGTGGACGTTGTTTTGCTGAGTGACCATTGGTGATGGATTGCTCCCAGGGTCCATCCGGCCAAGTATCACAACGAATTACATGGAATTGCGAAAGAGAGACCTGTAAGTGAGTAGCTGTATGAGTGTGTATTGTATGTAGATGATACACTTGCTTAAGGTATGTCATGGTAAGATTCTCTGTGGATGAGTAGAGCACTTCTACATGTCCTCGTGGTGAAGTTACTCTGGATATTCCAAAAACAACAGTTGAGGCATCCACACCCAACAACGCCTCTTGTCTTTCACCGCCCCCCGTAACCCGTTGTCTCCAGGTGGACGAGGATCCAATCCACCCTATCCACGCCCCCAATC